CGGGGGCCCGACCCAGCTGGCAGCGAGTCAGGCACGGGGGGGTCCAGCAAGGCTCGGCTCTGGTTCCTCGTTTTCCAACCCGGCTCTGGGGCACGATGCAATTTCCTTTCCAGACCAAACACCCCCCCCCCCCCTGCTTTCTCCCCAACCCCAAAACAGACCCAGGCTGGGCCTCAGAACAATCGCTGCTGGTGATTAAAGCCCCTGACATTACCAGTCTGGTTGGACAGGGGTGGCAGGGCCGGATAAACTGGATGTAGCCTTTCCCGGAGGACAAGCGGGGCCGGGTCCTGCCTGCCGGCAGCCCGGGCATGGGGGAGATGCAGATGCTCCCGAGCAGCTGCCTTGCCCCGTTAGAGAGGCAATCCTCGAGTTTTCCTGCCCTATTCCCGCTGTCCAAGGACTGATTTCAGATCAGCAGAACCAGCTGCTGACAGAATCCTCTCCCCATCTCCATCCCCTCCGTGGGATAACACCACAGCACCACTGGAAGGCTTGACTTGGCTACACTATAAAATAAAAAGCATCTATGTATTTGAGGAGAAACAGCCTTTTTATCTCAGTGGTGCTTAAATGGGTATCACTAAGTGGGGCAAGATGAACTGTGCCCGATTTTTCATCCTCCTTCTCATGGAACTGTTTTGAGTGAGTAGTGCAGGTAGCAATGACAAGGCACTGCCCAAAGACTCCAGGTTCAAAATGTGCAGCTCTCGTTTGGTCAGTTAGGTGTTCTAATTACAGCACCAAAATAAAATGCACTAAGCACCAAGAAGCGAGTTCTGATGAAAAGCTCTTGTTGGAATTTATCCTTGCTGTGCAAACTCTGACACCAAAACCCCCTCTAACTAATTTCCACAGCTGGGGCAGCAGTAGGATGCAGGCCCAGAAGGATTATTTTTACTTCACAAAACTGTACCAACCTCTCTTTTCCTTGATCTGAACTTACCATACTCAGTCCTATTTTAAAAGACATTTGTTTCATGCAGAGCTGCCTTCCCTCTGTCAACACACAGTATCCCTGTCCAAGTATTGAACACGTTGCTGCTAGGAAAGCACAGGGTGTCATTTTTGCTAAAAGCTCATGCAACTTGGTACCCATAAAGCAACCAGTAGACAGTGTTATCTGGCCAGACACTCCTCACCACCACCAGCAACTCTGGCATATGGCTTTGGTCTGCAGATCACTGGTTGGTGGCCTCTCACCCACATCACTGGTAACTAAGGCACATGCAAAACTGGAACAAGCTCATTACACCACACTTTGCCCCCTCACCTCAGAGGAACAACAAGAGCCCATTGGAACAGCCAGGTTTGCTGGGTTACACACACCAGCAATGCTGCAAGAATAGCACTCAGAGCTGGATAGGCAGCTGCTGCTTTGGGATGGACTTGCTGCTATACAAAGCAGATGCAAGAGACTTCATCACAGAGATGGTATCTTCACTTAATTTATGGAACAGTAATTGCTCTAAGCCCCTTCCCATGTGGATGTGTATTTGTATACATAAGCATGCGTGCACCTCATCATTTACATTCACAATCCTGTCCTGCAGAATCATAAAGCTCCTGTGTGTGAAAAGAGATTGTCCACTGGATCTCAAAGAAATAATGCTTGATTTCAGTGGATAAAAGTAGGCACATTTCCAGCTGCATCAGTTTCTGCAGTGCTACTGACAGTGTAAAGTCATGGTGGATTTTGTTCAGACCACAACCTGCTTTAGTTCCACAAACCACCAGCTTTACCCTCAGGTTTAGATGTTATTGTATCTTATGGTTATTGCTACACAATGAACTGGTTTTAATGCCTTAGTTTACTGTGATTTCAGTAGCTTTTTATTTATAGCATCAACATCTTTTTCATGAAAATGTTGATGTCATCTAGAGATTCTGAAAAGCTCAGGATAAAAGCAGACACCATAAAACAAGGAACTCAAAAGTTGGGAAGACCTATAAAAGCAACAACTGTGATCTATGACACAAATGTTGTAAAAGTCGTAAGAATTTAAGATGAGCTTGTTCCTCCTTAAATTTATGTTTTTTAAAAAAATCACTACTAATGGTTTGTAAACTGTGGCTGTTCTGACTCTTACCACGTGGGTGCCACCATAATTCCCTTTTTCTTTATTTAGCCATTTTAAACCTCTGCACAATACACAAAAACAAAGGGGTTAGGACAGGGAAGAGGCTGCTGACTGCTTCTCATACAGACAACTCCCCCTGAAAACCACCCAGCCAGACTCTGTGTTGCATCCTTCAGCTCAAACACTGCTCTTCCCATCTGCTCTGTTTGCAAACTCCTCTTCTCCTAGCCTTGAACCAAACTGCAGGTACCCTGGCAGCAACTCAACGACTGACAGTTCCCAGCCCTCAGACATCATCACAGTTTCATGATCACAGAAGCAAACGGTTTGTTGGTTGGTTTTTTTTTTCCAAGGGAAGGAGGCAGAGAACAGGGGAGATGTCTTAACCAAAGCACATAGTTTAACAATAATCTTACCACTGGAGACGAAATTCGACACCCAGGGCAATCACAGATTGGAGGATGTACCTGTAAGATTCCTTTGGACATAAGAGTCTTCAAACTTTTCCCTGGATGCAGAGGAGAAAAAGAAGAAGAAAAAAAGAATCAGCACCTTCATAAAAGGAAAGTATTTTGGGCAGGGGGGTGGAATCACGCGTCTCCTGCCACACAAACACCCCTCCCCTCGCCTGTCTACCAGCACCCACACCCCCTCCCACCCCGCCTGCCCCTTGGCCGGAATTTCTCCCCTGCGGATACCCGTGGACCGGCGCAGCCCTCCTTAGCCTAACCTTGGTACCAAGGCTACCGCAGGCTGGAGGGAGCCCAGGCCGAAGGCACAGCCGCCAGCCCGCGCATCCTGCGCGCACCCGCGCTGCCCCCCGCGC